TCAATTTATCATCTAGTCTTTTAGAAAATAGTTTTGACGACGGAGAAGCTTCATCATTTGAAATCTAATCCATTAACCTTCCAGGAAATTTCTCAGTTTTAAACTGAATCTTCATAGTTTCATATTTTCTTTAGCTATAACGCTTTTCCCTTTTCTGATAACTTTAGATTTTTTCTTTGAAGATAGCAGTCCTCTTTCATTAATAACAAGAGGCATACCAGGTCTCACCTTTGGTTTTGTTCATTGAGCAAACCCAGGAAATCCATCACCAAATGCCGGTGGGAACGATGAGAATGTCCAAACTGGAACTTAAGAGTTCCCTACAACCGCTCGATGAGCATCCAATGGACCATCGGCCAGAGAAGGCCAGCGACCCTCCATTGCCATCCGCCTTACCGAAATAACCGTGAAATTGAATTTTGAAAAACTAAGCTAATTTATCCTGTTTCCTCATACCTTATCTCTCAAGTTTCTCTCTCTAGTTTAAATATACCCTTTTTCTTTTCAAATATCGTCAATATCAAAATTTTATTCACTATATAGCATTTTCCTCTCCATTTTTCTTTGTGACATTGATGCTTATTTCTTAAGAATTTTTTGAATTATATATAATTGTTATATTTTCATTTTCTTCTCTTTTAGAACTACTATTTTCATAATGTTGGCTTTTAGTGCAATACTCTTTTCACTTATTTTGTCACCAGCATCTGCATTGCTTTGACTAACCATTTATTCATGAGTAATCAAAGAACTAAGAAGGTTATTAGAAGAATAAATATTTAAATCTTTAGAATTAGATATGGATGTAACCTTAGCATCTTAAGATTCATGCAAACATCAAAAAATCTTGTTAACTCTTTTAGTAGAAAAACTTTCTACATAAGGCATGCAAGGATGTGATAATTTTGTAAATCTAGTAAAACTATCAAATATTGTTTCACTAGGTTGCATGCAAAAAAGTTCATAATCATGTAAAAGGATGTTTATGTGTGATTGTTTAAATTCGTAAGTGCCTTTATAAGTAAAATATAGTTTGTCCCAAATTGCTTTACCAATTTTACAATAATGATACATATAAAATCTTCATATTTCAAAGTTTAAAAATTTGTTCAAATATTTGGCATTCAATTGTGCTACTTCTCTATCGCTAAAACAACATTCAGTAAAAGGAAGTTCCGCTCTAATTCATTATCAAATCTATATAAAAATTTGTATCCCACCCTCACTAAGTTCCACATTCTAAAGTTAATGAATTGTAAAAAAGTAAACATGCGAGTTTTCTATAAATCAAAAGGTATATTATCAAATAATAGTGATCAGGTAATAGAATATCCTTCCACAATATTCCTATATCTAAATTATGCCATACCAGAATCTACTTGAGAATATTAAACCAAATAAATAGGAAATTTACTCTAATACCACTTAAAACAATGTCTAATTCCATATATGCATGATGCTTGCTATTTTACAAATGTAGGATCTCTTCTTCAAGTATTTTACATGCCTCTTCTAATTCGATATATATTTATATTTTCTCTATCAAATCATTTTTAAAATTCATACTCATATTACGAGTTATGATCATTCCAAGTACTGTAATTCTTGAGGTCTCTCCTTTAACTTAATTTTTATTATGTTGTATTTAGCTTTAGTTCATATGGCATACCTGAAATGTTAATATAATAAAATAACCTTCATATATTACATAAAATATAAGGTAAGTTATTCAATAATATTTGAAATCATTAAAAAACTAAACAACTTTTCAGGTTCACAGATTTCAACAAGAATGGATTTATGAGTTTTGGCTTGGCTCTTCGAGTTTTCTTAATCAAAGTGTTGTATTTCTCATCACTCATCAAAATATGAGTGGGATCAGGCATTGGTGTTTATATTATTGTTTGATTGTTAAATCTTTTATAATGTACTATTGAGTTAGATGAACTTTGAGGTATTCTCCCTTTGTTCTCGTTGATTCTAACCTATTGAGGGTGTCTTGGATCGGCATGGTTATCCTTTCCTTCTTCTCCATAAAGTTATGATGAGTAGTGTAGTTGGTGTTCTCTATGTTTATTAATGGCTCAGGGACACTTAGCTCCTTTAGGTGTGCCTATTTCTCATCATTGACATTAATTCACACTCACTGCATCTAAGAGGATGTTAGATAAAAATTTGCCTATGAATGATACCCAACTCTACTAGCAAGCAAGATTTGATAGGCGTGATCAAAAACTTATAAGAGAATGGAGAGAAAGAATATATGATAAAAAATAATTATAAATTTTCTTAAAAGCTTAATCTAAATACCAGCAAAAGGATCCCCGAATGCTAAAGATTCAAAAGATACCAAATGTTGATCATCACTCTTGTTTATAGGGTTATGAGAGTTATAGGGAAAGGCTACACCCAATAAAAGTAAAAAAGTGAAATGCAACACAGACTACCCACCCTTGGCATTTATCATTTTTTTGTTAGTCGAGGGAGAGCAAGGGCTACAAGCATTTAATGATCAGTCTCAAGGAAAGCTCGATAATGTCATGTGTGTACTAGCAAGTTCAATTGTGATGAATGTTTATGGGATCAGCTTATAAACAAGTGTCGAGCAAAGGATTTTTTATGGTTAAATGATATTTGAGAGCCACTGGTGATCTATATTGAGCCTTTAATCACTTATAGGCGGAGGAGAGTGAATTGAGGCTATGAAGAAGATGAACTTAATGGAATGTTGTCATGGTAGAACAAAAGACGTCTTGTAACATGCCAACTACATGTCAGTTACCTGTGAAGGCATATACAAGTATACAATAATTTCTTAAGCTTGCTAATTAGTATGGTCGGGTTTTACCCACAGACAAACTTGTATCTAATGCACTTGATATAAGGGCTATATAACTTTTGTATTGCATCAATGTAATAGTTTATTAGTATGTTAGGTTTTGATAACAAGTTCTAAGGGATAATAGTTTGATTGTATTAAGAAAACAGGTAATAATATTAAACTTCAACAAAATTTTCAAAAAAAGATGGACAAACTATAGCATATATGTATAAGGGCTTTTTCGAAACACAATATTAATTTTATGGCTATTGGTATTGTTGTCAATGTAATGTCTAATTTGTATACTACGATCTGATACGAAGCTCTAGCATTAACATTAGGAGTAAATAAAATTATATTAAAAAATATTAGCTTGTATGGTAAAGTTGACATTATTTGTTAAGGTAATGGCTTATATGGCATCATCTTTGTTTTTTATTTTTTTTTAATCAATATATGTTTTTTTAGGTCATATCTGAGATCCGTTGCTTTTTATTTTTCTTATTAAAATCATCTTTATTTAGTGTATTTTAACTTTTTTTTTATAGATAAAGTTATTATTAAAAACTGTTCAAAATAAATTTTATGTGTTCTAAGTGTTTTTAAAAATAGCCATGACCTCTAATTGTCGCCAACATCTCCTAGTTGGCCACTATTATTCATCACCTATTTATTGTCACCACAACATAAATAATAAAAAATATATTTTTAAGATATTAAATATATATTTTTTTATATCAAAGCATAAATAAAATAAAAAAATAAATAATAATAATCAATCAATAAGTGATCCCAAACAACCTTTTAGTATTTTTTTCCAACGATTTTTTTTTTAAATATTAAATTATTCTTAAAAACACCTGAAAAAATAATCTTTGAAAAAAAAAACTAAAGAAAAAACAACTTATCCCAAATGTGACAAAAAAGTATTGCAAAAACAAAAATAAAAAAAATGAAGATGATCGCATAGTCTACCTTATGAAAAATTATTTTGTGCGAACATCTAAAGTTGTCCAGACACCAATAAAAATGTACCTTGTCACCCTTCTACTATACCGTGGCTCATTACTGTTCGGTAACGTGGCTCGATATCGCTGGGTATCGAAACTCGGTATCGCGGCATCCAAACGTAAATCTGTGTCCGGTACTGCAACGTCCGAATGTAAAGTTGTGTCCGGCATCCTCACAGAATAATTTCTCCTACCTTACATGCCAACATTTTAATATATTTTTTTGAAACCCTAATATTAAAGCTAGAGCTTCTGATCCAAATTATACATTTTTATTCAAATAAATCTAAATGTAATTTAGTAATTTAATATCAATTAAAATGTAAGATGTTATTTTAACCTTCTTATAACTTATATTTAAGATTAATTGGGATAATAAATTAATTATGTTTTAGGCAACAAATTTTAAATTTATTTATTCTAGAAAAAATACAAAAGCATAATTAAATTTTGATTGATTTAGGTGTGTAATTTATTCAATTATTTTAATGAGGCATTCATTAAAGAGCTATCAATGATTAAATACTATGATTTTAAATTATTTCAATTAATTATTAATTAATAGTGTTTAAAGAATAACTGACATTATTAAAATAAATCCGATTAATAAAGAAAATTAATTAATAATCAATAACTAAGATAAAATATATTAATTAATCATGCATTATTTATGAATTCAATAGTCTTATTTATTATTTATTTAAATATTAATGCTTAATTAAGGAATTAATACTTAGTATCTAAATAAATTTTCTTAAACAATTCCATAATCCGGCTCGAGCTCAATTAGATAAATAGCTCGTTTTAGCCAAGCTTGATAAACTAAAGATCCAAATTTGAGCCAAAATTAACTCATTAATTCGAGAGTCGACTCTTTTAAATGATATTAACAAAAAAAAGATACTTAAAATATATTAAGATTCAGAATTTAATACAAAATTTCTGCAAAATATTTAAAAATAATATTCATTTTATTATATTAATTGATTCTTTAATTATTTTTTTATAATTTCTCAATTTTTTATCATTTCATTATAATTTCTTAAATCATAATCATTTTCTTTATTTCATAATAAATGTCACGAACTCGTTAAATAAAACTCGAGCTCAAACTCGATTAATTAATCAAACTCAAACTTAGACCATAGATGACTTAAGCTCAGCTCGACTAGTTTAAACCCCTAATTCCAATTGTTACAACCCTTCTTCATAACATTCAATAGCGTTATCACCACTTGGACATTAATCAGAGCTGAAAACACTAAAAAGGAAGATAATCTTACTAATTACAATTTAAAAGAATGCCTATAAATTAACACATGACAAACAACTCGAATATGCGCTACAGCATTGATGTTTAAGACCATTTTAACAGTACTTGTTAACAAAGGAATAAATTAAGAGAACTTCCTGCAAAGAAAAAAGAGCATTAACTGATATGGTCTTTTTTTTTTTTTTGTGACGTAACATTATATTGGACACTAGATAAGTATGACATAGCGAGAGATTAGGCAATGAGCAGCTGAGCAGCCCCAATTAAAATTATAAACCAAGTTGCAATTCGTGAAAATTACACAGGATTAACTGCAGCTGGCCTGTCAGAATGAAATGGAACATATTAGTATCGGGTTATGAAGAACATAAAATTTTCATACGTAAAAAAGTAGAAATATCAGAACCTAGAACTGGTGACCCAGCACACAGCACCCAATTGATCAAAGAAATCAGATTGATCAATCATTTGAACTCGTGATAGTTGCCAGTGAACTTTTAATCTGTAAAAAATTATAATACAGCTCAGAATCCGGAACATCAGATCATTAAAAGGCTAGAGAGTCCAAATAAAATACCTTGAGAGGATCTAGCGGAATTCATCATGCAAGTCCAAATCATCATCATCATCATCATCATCATTAAAAATAGAACTGTAAAATACATACGGGTGTTCTATCATTTCATTCAAACTTAGTTTTGCATCTTTATCCGCATCTGCCTGAAGAATGGGAAGAAACATCAACTCATCTACAAGCTGTAAGTCTATTGGCAGCCCAATTTAAAATACGGAAAATCATTTAAGCAGGAATTTTCAATGTCAGTTCAACATTTCCATACTGTAACGTAGTATTTATTATGTTATTATATATTACCAGTTAAAACATTCAAATGTGGCATTAAATCATCGCACAACATTAAATCAAGAAACCATAGATACGACCACAAGGCTCAAGAATGACAGCAAAATAGAGGACAAACCAAAAGAAAATCTAAGAAAGTAGGTACTGCGTCTCTTATACATGGGAGTTCTGGATAAGCATTATATTTATATGCATAGCATTACGTATAATAGCACATGCTTTGAGGAATATGCTCAAGCAAACAAAAGAAAACTTCTAAATACAAAAATACAAAGCTCAAGGAATACACGAAAATAAGTCAGAAGAATGATGAGGAAGAAGGCAAACAAATGAACACCAAAGAAAAATATACAACAACAACAACAACATCACGCCTTTGTCCCACTACGTGGGGTCGGCTACATGAATCCTTCTTCGCCATTGTGTCATGTTAAAAGTCCAATTCTCATTTTAATCAAATAAAGAAAGATCATTTCTAATATTTTATAACCAAGCCTTTTTAGGCCTACCTCTACCTTTCTTAACATAAGTCAAATCTAATACCTCAACTTTCCTAATCGGGTCATCGGAAGGCCTCCATTTAATGTGACCAAACCATCTAAGACGACTCTCTCTAATCTTATCTTCCACTGGAGCTACTCCAACATTTTCATGTATATGCTCATTTCGTATCCTATCTCTAAGGATAAAGCCACTCATCCACCTAAGCATCCTCATTTCTGAAATGCTTAACTTAGTATTATGCTTCTCTTTTAATGGCCAACATTCGGTACCATAAAGCATTGCAGGTCTCACCACATCTTATAGAATTTTCCCTTGAGTTTGAGGGGGACTTCTCAATCGCAAAATAAGCCCGATGCATTCCTCCATTTCAACCATCCAACTTGAATTCTATTGATAATATCCCCAGCTATTTCACCATCACTCTGAACAATAGATCTAAGATATCTAAAACATGTACTCTTATTAATGACTTGATCGCCCAAAGTCACAATCCCCTCACTAAGTCTATTGCTACTAAAATTACTTTCCATATATTCAGTTTAGATCTACTCAAGTGAAAACCTTTAGACTCAAGGTTGACCTCCATAATTCAAGTTTACCTTTAACTCCCTCTCTAGTCTTATCAACAAGAAGAATATAATCAGTAAAAAACATACACCAAGGTACATCCTCTTGCAAATGTCTAGTGAGAACAACCATGACTAAAGCAAAAAGATACGGGCTTAAGGTTGATCCTTGATGTAATCCAACCGAAATAGGAAAATACTTGGTCAAACCACATTTTGTTTGAACACAAGTAATAGCTCTTGCATGCATATCATTAATGATTTGAATATAAGCATTATTAACTCATTTCTTTTCAAGAATTGTCCATAGCACTTCTCTTGGAACTTTATCATATGCTTTCTCTAAATCAATAAATATCATAAGTAGATCCTCCTTATTATCTCTATATTTCTCCATCAAACCTCTCAATAAATGTATGGCTTCCATAATAGACCTACCCTACATGAATCCAAATTGATTTCAGAAACATTAGTATCACGCCACAACCTAAGCTCCATAACTCGCTCCCATAGTTTTAAAGTTCCTCTATAATTCGCACAGTACTATGCATCACCTTTATTCCTAAGAATAGGAATTAACACAATCATTCTCCACTCATCTAGCATCTTTTTAGCCTTCAAAAAAATATTAAAAAGTTTAGTAAGCCAAAAAATTCTTTCCATCTCCTAAGCATTTTCACATCTCTATTGAAATATAATCAGGTCCAACAACTTTTTCACACTTCATTTTTTTAAAGCCTCTCTAACCTCAATTTTACTAATATGCCAATAAAACAAAAAACTATATTTTCATTTAGGGTGCTAAAGTCACTAAAGTCAATCGTATTTTCACATACTTCAATAAAAAGTTTAGCAAAATATCACATCCACCTTTATTGAATATCATCTTTTAAGAAAAGTACTTTTTGATCTTCATCCTTAATGCAATTCACTTGAACTAAAAGTTTAGCTCTTTGCATCACAAATAGCATTCTTAAATTTGTTACGACCCACTTTATAGCTTTCCCAATTATTAGAATTCTTACATCTAAATCAATTTATATAAAAAAACTTCTTATTTTTTATCCTTTCTTGCACATTTAGATTCCACCACCAACTATTTTTACTATTAATAATTTTTTTCCTTCAAAACTCCAAGCACATCTTTTGCAATATTATTAATATCACTAGTCATTTTTTCCCACATAACATTAGCATCCTCATGCAAAGACAAAATCTTAAGATCTATATACTCTCAAAAATATTTTTGTTAATATACTTTAAATGCCCCCATCTAATCCTAAAAAAATTAGTTTACTTTATTTTTTATTTTGTCCATTTATCTTAAAGTCCAAAACTAATAATCGATGTTAAGTAAATAACTTTTTACTCGGAATAACTTTACAATCTTTGCAATCTAAACGATCTAACTTTCTTATAAGAAAATAATCAATCTGTATTATATCCATTTTTATAAGGAATAAGATATCCATATCTTTTTTTAAATAAGGTATTAACTATTAAAAAATCATGAGCTAAAAAAAATCTAATATGGTCTTATGACATTCATTTGTCATTCCAAATTTATGGCCACCATGAATGATTTTAAAATCATCTACCTCTCTACCAACATGTCCATTTAAATCTCTTCCTATAAAAACTCTTTCTTCAAGAGGTATCTTTCGTATTGATACTTCTAAATCAATTCAAAATTTTAATTTTGAACTCATATATATATATATATATATATATTTTAATTTTGAACTCATATCAAAACCTATTTAAGGATCATAAGCACTTATAATATTAACAGTCTTAGCATCAACAACAATTTTAAAAGTTATAATTCTATCTCTTATTTATTAATTTTTATAACATTATCCTTCAAACTCTTATCTATAATCACTCCTACACCATTTCTAGTACGACTCCTACCTGAATACCATAATTTATATCCTACTATCAATCTCCTTAGCCTTCTCTCCAACCCATTTAGTTTCATGAATGCATAAAATATTTATCTTCCTATGAATCATAATATCTATTAATTCTATTAATTTTTCTATAAGAAAACCTATATTCAAAGTTTCTATCCTAATTTTAGTTTCATGGACTAGCTTCTTTGCCCACATCCATCCTTGATGTGGAAACCCTTTGCCTATTTAACACTGCACCCGAGGGCCAATATAGAGGCACTTGCACACTTGTCACTGTATTCAGGCCATACAACACGTCGCTTCTAGGGGACGCCCTAGCATTAACACATTTTTTAAAAGATTCATGTCATGATTATTCGACAAGATTTACGCTGGCTGTCGACTACCTAACGCAACCCTCCACTTTTCTCATCCAGGACTTGCGACCTTGCAACGACAGTGTTAAGAGAAAATATACTGAAGAAACTAAAGTTGGCTACATCTTTATTTTTTTAACTAAAGTTGGCTACATCTTATAAAGGTACACAAAATTATTAGGTTTAATCTATCATATAATTTTAAGAAAATTGAGCTTAAATTTCAAGCATGTATTCTTCACTAATAGCAATAAGCTTTTGTGCTGATAGTAATTTTGACTAGTAGTATATCTAATAAAAGGGGTATTAAAAAAATGATCTAATCCATCAACTTGACAAAAAAATTTCGGGTTTAGTTTTACCCATTTAATAAATGGGTTGGGTGCATGTCCAAAATTTCAATATATTTATTAAACAGGTCGGGTTCATGTTGACCCGCCAACCTAATTTTGACACACAATAACCCATTTAAATTATTTTATTTTAAACTTTTTTTATTTATAGGTATGAGTGTTTTATTTTTTATTAATTAATCTAAATTTATTATAAAAATGCATAAAAAAATTTTAAAACAAAATGAGTTATTGGGCCAAGTTTAAGTTGACCAGATACGGATCGAATCAATTTGGAATCAAACTCGAACCCGATATGTTGACCCATTTTGACACCCCTACTAACACATCGTCAATTCTCCTTTGGTTCAAACGTCCTAACAAGTGATATTAGATTCAATAGATCAATTAAGATCAAGAAGTTCAAGAGGTTAATAGATCCTATATATATTTGTCTCTTTTGCAATTGTTGAGCATATTTCAAGAGCGGGAGACTCTTGCGGCAGCTCCACATGGTTAAATGAGCTATTGGTGCATGATATTTCATAAGTAACTATTTAAAGGGTAGTGTGGCTAATGTTGAAAGCTTTCATGTGAATAATATGTTTAGTCTCAATATGGATAGTTGAAAAAGTATATTGATATTGAAATATTAAGTAGCTGACCCATATCAATATGTTTAAGAGTTTAGGTTGACAATGATTTTATCTACTAATTTATCTAGCTCAAACTAAATACCCCTTTAATTCACACTCCCTAACACATTTGCATTTTTGTATGTTTAATGTTAACACTCGCGTTGCTAGGTCCATACTCTAGATGAGAAAAATAGAGGATTATGTTAGATAGTCGAGAGCCAACATAAAATTTGTTGAACAACTATGACATGAATCTTTTAATAAATTATGATAATGCTTGGATATTCCTAAAAGCAATGCATGGTTTGATATGAATATTTTTTATTGTTGAAAGTGAAAGTTCTTTCCTTGAAAGTAACATTAGATCATCTCAGCTGTCTGATAACGACTATTTTAATGTGTTCCAACCGTGTATTACGATGTGGGATCATACAATATAATTTTACTTTGTGCATACATTTTTCTCTATATGGTTGATTTATGTGGCTTGTAAAAATAAAAGTCTCAATAGTACAATGTCATAATGGATCATATAGTACGAATTAA